TTAACAACAGTCAGATCAGGACAGTATTTGGTTGCAACTGAGGCATAAAAAATTAGAGCTCTGAAATGATTTAGATTTCTTTATGTTGTAAATGCAGCAGACAAACTTCTCCATGTCATTCAGCATTAAAATTCTGTTTTGACACAGTGGTAAAAAGAATTTTGTGCTGGAGAAGTAGGAGATGATGATGCCACATGCAAATTATCCTTAACACTTTACCATTGAACTTAAAATGCTCTGCTCCAGCCTTCCTGACACCCATGTCAGTGTTTCAGTCCATTGAGAACGCACTCCCCTACCCACATTGACTAGGTAAGGTGGGTCAAAGCTGCCTTCTGACTTCCCATGCACAGAATAGCTAACAGCAACTGCCATTGAGACCGGCAGAGGCACCAGCAGTTTAGGACTCACCTCACAGCAAATATCCGCACACACACACACACACACGCAAACACAGCACAGGATCCCACTCAGTTGTTCCCATATGGACATCATCACAACTTACTTTCATATCCATTACCACTCTATAAGGTATCTCCTCTAGAAACTTCCACAAGGTTTCTTCTAATGTTTCTTCTTGGTTTCTTTTCTCCCATGATGTTTCTCCATGATGTCTGGAAAACTTTTCCAGTTTACCTATCCGGTCCTACACAGTGATATGCTTTATAGGGGCTCAGGAAACAACCATAATTCAATGACCATTTCCTGTGAAGCGTTCCTTTCTGCTTCATATAAACGAAATATATTTGTTTGGTTCAACACACACACACACACACAGATTCAATATTAAAATTCACTGGTTCATACCATGACTTATTCTCCCTGTGTGACAAACTCTGTAATGCATCCCTTTTCCCAAATACGTAAAAATCCATTTAAAAAAGACCAATTATACCGTAATAATGCACTGCTCTGTGACTAAATTAATGCATACCTTTACTTCCTAAATTAAAAACTACAGTACAAACTCCCAAGGAGAGTAATTTTTCCTGTTTGTTGAAAAACAATAGAAGTGGGGATGCTCTCAGGATAGTACTAGGAAGTAGATAGTACTGTATTATGTTGAGCTGTTGAGTTTTCCTGATAACTATGATTAATAGTAACCATAGTTTGCTTATTAACTATAAAACAAATTATTTCTATTTGTAGGAGATCCTCCAACTTTTTTTTTTTTAAACAGGGAACTATCAACAGTAGATAGATGGATTATTTTGGTTGAGAATTAACAAACAGTGCCTTTTCTCTCAACTGCCAGTGGTGCATGATGTGATACAAAGCCTATACTTACTCCATGCTTCACTTGCTCTGTATAAAAAAGGAGTTTTTTTCAGAAGTAAACTTTTAAGCACATGTTTTGTACTACGTGCTTTTGAACTTTATTTTATAACTTTTCACTTCTGTGTCTCAACATGTATAACGAGTTGATGGTAGCTCAGGACAGTGGTGTGGATACATAAGCATCCGAAGCAGTATTGTATATATTTAGGCACAAATAAATTATCTTTAATATTCAAATTGTTACATGTTTTAGAAACTATTTGTATTCAGGAAAATTAGAAATTATTCTAAGAGATTAATTAAATATAGGGTCTTGATGAAGAGGAACCAGCATTTCTTTCCATTATCTTCTGATTCAGCCAGGAAATAACCAACAAAATAACAAACTGGTCTTAACTGCATATTAGTCACTGCATTTCAGCACCTTGATCTTAATCCTCAATAAACTTGTCTTTCACAATTCCTTAGCAGCAATGCATTCCTGTTAACTGCATATGACTTCAATTGCAATTCAGAGTATTACCACAGGAATGTCAGGCAAATTTAAAAAAATCCAGTAACATTTAGTGCTGCTAGTTAACATGGTTAAGTATATAAGAATTTGCTATTCAGCATAGAAGCAGGAAACACACATATGTGTTTTTTATTTTTTTAAGACTTGGAACATACTATTTGAGACAGATGCTGAAATACATGGAGAATCCTTTAGAAAGATTTCAAGTTACAGAGAGGTTTTTTTTTTTTTTTAAGCATATAGTCAAAGCATCATTACCATGACATACACATGCCTTGATTACAACAGGCTGCAAAGGTACCTTTCAAGCCCACAGTCAAAAGTTAAATAATCACCTGGAATATAATGAAAGCATCGATATATTGCATACTCAGCTACAATTCACAAGCACTTAGGATGGGTTTAACATAGAGGAAAACAAACCTTTTTTTTCTTAAGACCTAATATATGCAATTTTTCCCCAGATGGTTCTAGTTTTTTTCCCCTAAACTTACCACCCTGAATAAAAAACCCAGAAACCTTAAAATTACTTCAGAATTACAGCAAAATATATTGCAGTTCAATTAAGTGAGGAATTTAATACTATTGTTCCCTACTTCTGAGGCATAATTTCTTATTAGGTGCAGAGAATTACAAAGAACATGCTGTCTTTTCTGCGTGGGCTTTGCGTAGGTTTCTCATATTGAAAAGCTTGCAATGATATTGGTTAATTGCTAGATTTCAGCCACCTTTCTAACCTCTCTCTTTCAGTGGGTGTGAAAGGGTTTACTTGTAATATATATTGCTACTGACAGAATTTTATCTTGTTCTCCTGGATTCTCAGCAGCAATTCCCAAGTTAGAGGCTTCCCCAGAAAGCACGTCAAAGGATTCCCACCCACACACTGAATATCTAACAGCCCTGACCCATTTTCTCCTTATTAAAGCAGCACTACATATTTAAAAATAATAAACAGAGAAGCTAAATGAATACAAGAATTGCAGGGGGGACTATCTTTTTTTTTTTTTTTTTTTAATTCTATGTCTGACAACACCACTACCAGGAAGCTAAGATGCACTTAAACTACAAACATCGAACACGTTTTCCCCTCAGTGTTCTCATTCAGTGACTTACTGCTCCAGCTGTCTTTTGGCTAAGTACAGTTGAGACTGCATTTATTACTCTGAACACAGAAAAACATCTCCTAATTTAGCCATACTCACCTCTTCCACACATATCTTAGCACATACTTCTGCAACTTGAGCTTTAATAATCTCACAGCTCACTGACATAAAATACAGGATGTATGAACAAGAAAACAAACAAGAAAAGCACCCCAGTGGGTAACAGTTGAAATTATATGATTTTACTAAAATTTGCGTTGCTTATCCAGAACAATAGCAATTAATATACTTAAATCTTGCAGTGCCATTTGTAGTAGCCTGTTCCCTCATAAAATCTTTAAGATCCAACATAGCCAGTATACTGAAATATTGGAGCATTCTTATTTAAGTGGTTAAGAGATGCAATGTTTTAAGTGGAAACAAAACTGCAACAGAAAATTCAACATGCACATGACCTGCCATTTTCCCATTGCATTCAAAATCTCACAAATATAAAATGAATCTCCAGTTTTACTGCTTTAGGTTGCATAAAAGCATTTCCCCCGTCCCCTGTGCTATCAACTCCAGAGTGAAGCAAAGTACTTTGGTAATTCTTGTAAAATGTCTTCACCTATCTTGAAAATAAACTTCCCCTTCACATCACATGTTTGCATAGGATGCTCTGTGGCTAAATATATTGAGTTAGAGAATTGCTGATCATTGTATTACGCTTGGCAAATGTTTTTCAAAACTTTTGGACACATTTATTTCCATCTGGACTGCCTGTTTTTAATCTGTGGCTGCAGATAGAACAGTAGACTTTATGACAGCAAAATCTGTACAAATGCATTTGCAGGTTCAGTTTGAAAGAAAATGAACTTACCTTAACACATTCTCCACAGTGTTCTGTCATAAAGAAAATTATCCTGTAATGGCTAAGTAGTATTTGAGAGAAGAATTCCATGAATTTATACATCCACACTGCATCTCACTTGCATCCACAAAGAAGTGAAAATTTAAAGATGTATATTTAAGCGATTTTATGTAAAAGTAGGAAAATTACAGAATGAGTTATGCTTTCTTCTCACAAGCTTAAATTTTTCCCACTGGGCCTCTGACCAGGCACAGGAGTGCCTTTGCTCCCAGAAAAGATGAGTAACACCTTCTGCATTGCTTTGACTACTGCTCTTTTAAAACCCATTTCCTTTATTTACGGCAATGTCTTTATACTACATGTCCCTAGTATTGAGAACACTGAAAAAGGCAGATTAAGCATGATACTAAATACCTTCTTCCTCCACCTTTCCCTGAACTCCTTAAGTGTTACCTTTTCCATAGTATTTCATTTGGTGTTTATACACTTTTACTTCCTGATCAAGCACAAACAGCTTTCGAAAAGCATTTACTCAAATCTATACATTGAACATTAATGCATGGATGTATATACACCCTGATTACACTGCTTCTTGAATAAAATATATGAACCTTTGTATAACTAGCATTGTATAACTATACCTTTGCATAAGTAACAAAAAATGTATTTAGCAGCTTTTCATTTAGTGAATTAAGCACTTCATACAACAAGGAGGCTGACAGATGTGCTAAACAGCCTTAACACAAAGAGAGAGGCTTGTTTAAATAATAAGTAGCTTATGAAGCCAGAGGCACAAGATTTAGCAAACAATACTGTATTACAATAAATTGTGTTTGCTTTTTAAAATAAAGTTTTCAGAATGAGTCATTTTAATTACTTCATTAAGTGTATCGTTCCATCTTTTTTGTGAAATATTTGTTAGCAAAATCATGACATATGTGCTTTTGTGCAACTCCGTTTACAGAACAATCTTAAGTTAAAAAGAACACAAATTCTTTTAAAAAATAAACTTAAAATATCAAATTGAAACATACACAAAATTAGTGGAGTACAAAACATGTATTTAACTCCAAAAATCTCCTAAAAGCTTGCATGCAATTATTCCAGTTGAATAGTATTTCTTATTGCTTACAATAAGAGATTAAAAACTATAGAAGTATGTACAAACTGTAAAAATATGTTGAATTGGATATGCAATAGCAGAGTATTAAACTCATCTCAAACATATTTAAGACAGCAGAACACTACTTACGGGTAAGATTCTGAGAGCTGTTGAGCTATTTGATAAGCCGTGGGGTCCCTGTCTAGTGCATATATTGTAATGTCACCGGCTTTCTGTAGCAGAGCTGTAGTGTGACCACCAGCTCCAAAGGTCATGTCAAGGAAACACTGTTGAACAAAAATGACAACACCATTACCATTTAATAGAGCAGAAATCAACTATGCGTCAATTTAAACTTTATTTAATCGATCTCTCTTGTATGCTGGAAGAGGAAGGACCATGAAATATAAACACGGTTTTGGAAATACTTTCATATTTTACACACAATCAGTTATAACCCCCCCAAATTAACATATCTCACCTACCCTTCCAGTTCCCCAACAGGACAACCATTTCCACAGCATCATATTTTTCCTCCACTTCATGTTCTTAATTTAGAGGAAGTCTAGGTTCCTCTACAACGGGAAAATAAAGCTAATTTTCTATTCCTTGCATAGGATTAATGCACTCAGAAAAGCTGGTCATGGCAACCTCAAGCATCATGCAATGCTGTTCTATTTTGCGCTGACTTGAAATGTGAGAAACAAATGTGAGAAATAAGAATACCTCATGGAAAAACTAATCTCTTTAATCAATACAAACAGCTACTGCTTTCTTTTAAAAATAAAACCAGCAAAAGCAGTGTTGTTTGACATCTTAGCTAGACACCATTACACAGAGACAAGCTGCCAGCATTGCAATAGCACCTAAAGGCTCTCGTTGAGAATTCAGGGAAGCATTTGCAGTAAACACACTTGCTTACAAAAATATATTGCCCTTTCTGCAAAAACCATAAAGCAACAGGAGACAACTATAACACGATCTTCAGTTGGTTAGCAATACATAAAGGAACAGACGAGAGCATTTTAGCATTCACTAGGTTTGCTAGGATACCAAACTAAGTTGAGGACATTTTGGTATAACTTCTTAAGGCAAATGAAGACCTCCCACGGACAGTCTCCAAACGGTGCATACATATATGCTGAACCCATAAGCAAGCCTTAAGTGTCTGGCTATTCCACTCAAAAACAAAGTTTTAAGCATAGAGTCTAACAACTTTCACCATCTTGAGGAAAAAAGTTATTTGATAATTTCCACACATATTTGGGAACACTAAACTGACTTAAAAATAATCAGTATACTACAGCGATTTGTAATACCCATTTTATTTATTCCATTCATCTTTCATGACGGAAATAGAAGAAAGATGCTTCATTTTTCTTTCACTTTCTCTCTTGCCTAGTAGTTTTTAATCAAATAAAATTAAATGACGCTTTATCCTCATGGTCCTATAAAGACCGGAAAAAGATTATTACATGAGTTCTTCCTACAGTGACTCACAGTTCCCCTGTTAAGTTATGATAGCCCCATCAGGCTTCCCCTGGGGAATTTTATAATCTGTTTATGACTGTACATTTTGGAAACCATTTGGCTCTTTCATGACATACACATAGCAACAAACAAATCTCTACAGCTCCCATTTTACAGCTAGCTCCAGTACATTTTATTTTTCTAAGAGTTCACTGAAAAGATATCTTCTAATGAAGGCCTTTTAAAAACTTGATCTTACTACCGAAGTCGTCAAATATAATTCTCCTTACCACTACAGTCCACACAACATTTACACTGGCATACCAGGTAGCTTTTGCAATTCTTCTTTGTTTTATTGCATATCAAGATGAATAGACTATAAACTTGAAACAAACTCAAAACTCCAAAAACTTTCTCAAACAATTTTTGACTGCACGTAACTCATTTTTCTTTAACCCCAACACTGGTTAGCCATTTAAACAAAACAAACACATACAACCCAACATACACAAACATATGGTGTCTGAGGACAGGAAGAGAATGTTGCAGTGTTCCCCCTTTTGAAATCACATCCTATAGATAAATTTCCAGATAAATGTCAAGATCTTTTGGTTCTGTTTTTTGTTGTTGTTTTTAGTTGTTTTTAACATAAAAAAATATATGGAAGCTATAGAATTAATATCCTACTGTTGGGAAAAGACATATTTGGAGGATTAAAGAGAAGTTATTTATTGATCAGAAGAGCTAATCTGCAAAAATTAACAAGCATGTGAAGAACATTATGTAAAAATTTATTCAGTTTTCATTAAAAAATTCCCATTAAGCAAAATAATTCTTAGCTGTTGTGAAATGAATAACTGCTCAACTTCAGCCTCTGAGGAGCTAGTCCAACATAGGCGGTTGCAAGAAATGACAAAATAGACCCGTAACAACTGTACATATATTTCACATGCTACTGTCTGAAAGTAAAGAATAGCACTCAGTGAAACTAAACTTATTCATTAGCGGCCACTTTTAGTTGTGGGACTTATCCAACAAATGCAAAGAACAAAGGTGGTAATTAAGAAAGCTTTAATATCAAATAGAAGGGTAGAACAATCTTGGAAAGTCATCCTAATACAACAAACATTAAATATGATCTCTATAAATACAGGACCAACTCTACTTGCGTATTTCCGTATGCAAGCAATTGTATACTGTTGGCTCTAATGTAGTTTAAGAGGAAAATACTGGTCACCATATAATCCAAAAGAAGGGATTTTTTTTTCCTCCTTAATTATGAAGTCAACACAGGCTCTCTCCAATCTTGGCTGCATTCTTTGAAAGTGATACTGGGCCTATCACTTGAAATTTGGGAAAGCACTTCTCAGTTCTTGTTTGAGGAAATCAAAGAGAAAGATACTGTATATTTCTTCTCTATGAATGCACTCATAGGGACTTTCTGCAAACCTTCATTTAGGTATATAAAAATAAACGTTGCTTTGTAGCTGTATTGTTATAAACGGGCATGACCAGCTTGCATAATTTTTCTTTTACTATAGTAGCTCTATATGTGTACTTTGAAGTAGTAAATAATAGCTGGTACGGCTAACCAAGGGAATAATGCCAGGCCGTTATGCTTGCATAACATATTCATTTTGACAGCAAACGTCCCTCTTTCCACTTTTTACAGGTTTAAAGCAGACACTGCAGAAAATATGAAAATACTGATCTATTTGAAACCAACTTAGCAGAGCAAAATAAAAGAATAATTATCCAATGTCAAACCTATCCTATCCACCTACCGCATTTGTCAGAATTAGCGAAAATGCTCGATACCCACTGCCTGAAGAAAGAAAAATGTAATGAAGGAAGACACAACTGAGATATCAAACATCAAAAATACACTTTGGCATATTGCTATACTGGAAATCCTATCAAAAACAAATACACAAGCAGAAATGGCAATTTGATAAGGACAATGACATATTTGTATGGTACTACAGCCCCCGCTTACTAGCGTGTTCAATACCTATCAAGATCAGGTCATATCTTCTCTCTTAGCTTTTCCCAAGCTTTCTTAGTGGGAGGACAAGCCAGCAACTACCACAATACCACAGTTTCTATGTTTGCAATGAACTTGAGCACTCTCTTGTAAATAGAAAGTAACACAACTACTATCCTTGTGTTTTGAACTTGTGTGAGGCTTATTAATGCTAACAAACATTTATTATTGTATTTCCAGGCACCATTGGTAGGTGTATAGGAAACACCACATACCCAGGAATAGGAAAGTTTTATCATAGAAAGTTGTACCACTAAGAAAATGATCAACACCTTGCACGACATTTTATTCCTGTTCATCCTACTACTATTACTGACAAGTCATTCGCTCTAAACTGTTAATACTTGTTGTCTAAATTTCCATGTGATTCACAACAGAAGTTGTTCACTGTCGCAACACAACTTGCTTTCTTCTTCATTCTTCAAATATCAACTCAAAGTGCATTAAACAAATATATTTGTAGTATTTGTCATATACGTGAAAGGAGAGTAACAACTTGAGTCAAAGTATGAGGCAGGGGAGAGAAAAGCAAAATAGCTAATCTGCTAAGTATACTTTTATTACCACCATTTTTTTTCCACAGCTAATCATAGATATATTAAAAAAACTAGTTCTTCACATAAAACAAAGACTACTGTTTGGGCACACATTTAAGGACCACAAAGCAGAAAGAAGGTTCTGTCAGTTTTGTCATCTTTTTTTCTTGTCCCCAAAGCTCAAGTCCACTAGCTAAAAATTGAAAATTTCTGCTGAGCACTAGCCTTCGCTAATATTACACTTTCAATACCTACACTTTCAATAAATACAGAAAAAAATGCCAAAATATAAATCTAAATGTGATGCTAAAATGAAAAAATAATATATCCCTTCAAAGTAGGGATTCTGCTAATCCAAAAAAAATGCTACAGAACTTACATATACTAGAGAAGAGAATGGTACAAACCCCGGGGAACCCTGCAAATCCTATTCCAACCAACGAGCAGGACAGTGAACATGCAAGATTCTGCGTGGGCTTCTGTCAGGACCCGGTGGCCGACATCACTTTGACAAGGATTTCTCACAGATAAGGACAGCTCACACTGCATCCAAGTTCTATCTATATAGAAGGGTAACAGAAAAGTTAATATTGATATCCACAGAGAATGAATGGAAGACTGGGGGTAAAAAAGTTCTCCACTGGTTCAGACAGGAATATGGCAGAGCTAAGGCAAACACACACAAATGTGTAATGGCAGGAAGAACTAACACTAACAAAGTTACACAGCATTGTAACAGTTTAAAGAACTTAACCTTAAAATTTTTGTTACTGTCTTTCTTTTCAGACTCACTTATTTGTTCTCATCAGCTATTACTTACGGCTCATCCTACTGAAAATCATTTTCCGCATTTCAATAAAAAATAAAACTTCAGTGCATGACAGGAATGGCATTCATCTCAAAATACAACTGATCAATAGTACAGAAGATGGGGGGAAACAACCCTTGGTGCTTTTGAAACTGTAATACTTACTGGAATTAAGTTACAGGCACTTAAGCCTTTCTACCAGGTATTCAGATAATTTATGATGTAACAAAATATCATGACTTGTGAATGACTTAGATTTTTCCTTTGTTCAAGTCTACTTCATCCAAATCATACATGAGAATATTATACATCTTCGAAAAATAACAATTTAAAATTAAGGCACTTGAACATGTCCATAAAGACAACTAACCAAGTAGGTAAAGAAGAGAGACTTCACAAAATACAATATCTACCCTAATTGAAATAAAT